AGATCCCTGAATAACACCATGATTAATAATGAAAGGTGGTTGAATGTGACACTATATTGGTGTTCTGTCATATTGCTATTATGCCATGTTACCGCTATTCCACAGTTGATTTCATAGTTTGAAAGTTAATCAAGCAAATTAGTATGATCAATTGAGTCAAAGACTTTCAAAATTCGCTTTTAGATAATGGCCATCCCATTTGCAGATGGATTCTTATATCAAAGTAACAGTTTATATGTCATTTGAAGAATGTAATCCTATTTTCTTTACTTTATTGCTATATTTACTGTTATTGAAAATTGTATATCGGATGTACATTTGGCCCTAAAAGGGCATCAGTACTAATAAAATCCTATTATTATACGATTTTTTTCCCAAGGGTGCATCTTGTCCAACTTAGCTAAATCACTTCAAAAAACCTTTATGATAGTGGTAAAACAATAAAACATCGTTTTTTACAAATTCATACGTTCAGAAAATGTCATGTCGACAGTAGTAAACCACTTTGAACTTCGCATCATTGTCCAATAATTTGGACCATATCTCCATATTGGACTATCAGGCAAAGCCACTTAATTAGTTTTAATTACAATTTAGTGGTGTATCCCACTACATGCTTTATTTGAAACTTGAAAATGAACTCTTTTCGCCAGTTTACGCCAAATTGTTACATTTTGGGTAAAATTAGGTTAAAGAAACCATATTCCTATTTATCCCTTCAAGGAACAACGCCTAATTTTTTGCAAACCTATCGTCGAAAGTCTTTTTTGATATTTTCTATATGTAACTTAACAGCTTAATATATTAAAAACAAGATTCCTCTAGCGATGTGCCTGTTTAGTTTTTGAAAGTCAATTTAATTAATGTAGAAATTTGCAATATTCCATAGTGAACATTTTGAGAAAAGCTTGAAACCATTTTTAAATTGGAGACCTTAATGTCATTGTTACAGAAGTTCAATACGGGAAAAGGTTTCCAAACTTGGCCCTTTTCACGTGAACAACTGCTAGATGGCTTGATGAGTATTATAGTGACCCTATCTCTGAAACCTAGCACCTCTGAAAATCAAACAATCAAACACACTTGATACATTTAAACGTCAAATGGCCTCCAAATCACTACCAACTCCTATAATAGCAAGTTTTTCATTAAATCTTACTAGACATCGGGAAAAACTCTTGAACCAACTCCGATGCGACCTAGTCCTCAAAGCGCAACTACATTCACATAATTTTAACAATGTTAATTCCCCAATGTGCGCTTGCGAACTAGAATCAGAAACACTCAACCATTTTCTTTTCAGATGCCCCCTCCATGTAGATGATTTCAAGTTGCTAAATGATAAAATAACACGTGAAAATCCAATGATAAAGTTTAACTCTCTAACTCGAGCCAACAAGGCTAACACTTTACTATTTGGTCATCATCTCTGTAATAAAAATGAAAATTCATGTATCATCAAATCATTTGCTGAATATCTAGACATAGCATTTTCTAACCGCTGAGTCATTCTTTGGAGCACCACCAACATGCTACTAGTCGTGCGAGCCTCACTTGGCTGTATACCTTCAACTATGTAACACCGATGTACGTCAACTCCTATATTTCTGTAAAAATGGCTCATAATGTCAAGTTGACCGAGCCACTGACTTAAATACCAAATAAATAAAAAAAAAAAAAAAAAAAAAACCTAGCACACAGTAGTAAATATGACAAAGGTGCATGCATTGACAAGCATTTTCTCAGCAACTGATAAAATATTGGAAACATTCGTAAAGTAGTCTTAGGGTATCATTAGCAAGTTGTACAAATATGAACGAGATCGGTTACATATAATGTGAGAATTGACAAATTCAATTCAAAAATGCATGTCAAAAATGCAATATCAGAACTGCGCAATGAGTCTTCATAGCATTTGTGCCTGCTATCAGGTGATAGTATAATGTCGATCAGTTTAAGTGTAAAAAATGCTTGTCTGTGTGTCAGGTTTATTGATTTGTTTCATTGTTCTCTGTTTCCGAAATATGTTCTGTCCCAAAGTTTCAGTTCTTCTGATGGATAGACAAATGCAAGTGATGAGCGATAAGGTTACGATTAAAATCTGTTTCAAGGTGAACAGTTTGGGTGGAAGATCAATCATAAAGGAATTAAGGGAAAAAGTAAGTCATGACACTTATGAATAGAATAAAAATGTACTACATCCAACATACATTAAAGGATGAGATGATCATGTGATCAGAGGCGATATCGATGGAAATATACACAAAAGCATTTCTGCTTGGCAAAAAACAGCTTCTTAAAGACTGAAATAAATGTGGCTTTTCCATTAATATTGGACTTTTTGACATGCATTTTTGAATTTGTCAATTCTCAAGGAATATGTAAGAGGCCTCATCCCTACGCAGATTCGCAAGCGCACCGCAACACAACGCAAGATTTTGTAAATCGCAATCAGGATTTGTATCATCCGCTTGGCGCAATGCAACGCAATCGCAAATTGAAAGATGTGGACGCACGGTATTATACAATGCGTATAAAAAAACGCAACAGATTGTTGCCTCGGAAAAGCACAAAACCATTGATAACTGCATTGATTTCATTCAATGCACCATATAGCCATGTGTCTCCTCTTTACAATAATATATCATTCATTGATATTTGGTCATGGTTTGGCGAGTAATCATTCCACTTGCAAAGTGGGCCAAAATAAAGCTTGAGACCAAGTTATAAACATCGCAGTGTACAGAGCCCGATGCAATATTGGAAGAAAACACAAAATCAATGCTGACTGCATCCTTTTTATTCAATGTACCAAAAAGCCAAATTACTCCTCTTTGCAATGGAATATCACTCATTCACAGGGAGTCATGGCTGGCCGAATAATCATTAATTTTGCAAAATTGGGCAAAATTCAGCCGGGACCCTAGTTTTAAACATTGCAAAAGTCAGTACATGCGGCATAAGGGCTATTGGAAGAAGGTGTGACATGTGTGGCAAAGACAGTAAAGTGTTCATACTCATACTCTTGCAAGAATACACCCTATACCCCTCCAAATTGCCACAACTTCCTTGCACATGACGATGTGATATGTATGTTGTCGCTGCTGGTCGTTAGTAGATATGATATACTCTTGGCCAAAATCATAGCTTAATTCTCTGAGCTTCTATCAACAATACCATTTATGTTGTTAGTCTCATTGACTTCATAATGGGTTTGATATACAGCGATGTAGTAAGCCCCTTATCCCTTGCTAACTTTGTATTGTGGCCACCATACTATGGAATGAACCTCCCTGTCAGATGATATCAAAGCCTTGTTTCTGAGCATGTCAGTGGTTTGGTCAGAAAACATGTTTGTAGCATGGTACTGATTTATACAGCACCTGGGGCTATTATCATCTTAATCTGCATTTAGGTAATCAAACGGGTGATATAGCATTATAAACCACAATTTTATATAAAATGATGTAACTTATGATGTAACTAATTATTATTTTGCACATCAAATAATTTATAAATATCTGTAGTTATACCTAGCATGCTTATATTTTAAAATATCAGTCATTTCATGTGCAAAGAAAACCTTTATATGGTGTTTTTAAGTGGAGAGAGTGCCACACCCCAATCTATAATGATTACATAATTCCAATGCCAACTTATGAAGAATACTCAACCTGCAGTATTTTGAAACCTTGGTAATACCTTTTTAATTGATGAAGATATCTATTTGGGTCATACTTTAGCAGTCACAAAATATGAAGAAACTCTGCTAAAAAGTGAAAACAGCGACAAAATTGAACCATCCACCTCAGGCTGTAACGTCATGAATGGTGTAATGAATTAACGTTTTGCACATGAACCATTTATAGCTGTAGCTGAATTTATAACTGACATCCTAATTTCAATACATCAGTTGATTTGTGTGCAGAAACAACCTTTATATTGTGGTTTGTTAAGTAAAGCACCATGCCCCTGGTATATGTTGGCTAAATTGACACACCCATCTTAGATTGTTACATCATTAATTATGTAATTAAAGAACATACTAGCATAATAATACTTAAATAAAAAACTTGGTTCTTGTGCAGAAACAACCTTCATATGTGGTTTTTGAAGTAAAGTGCCACGCCGTCTCCTAAAATCATTACATAATTTTAATGCCTAATTATGAAAAATAAAAACCTGCAGTATTTTGCAACTTGCTAATATTTGTTCAGTTGTTAAACATAGAATACCTGGGTCATATCTTAGGAATAGTTACAAAAATATTAGGAAGCTCAGCTAAAAAGGTGAAAAAGTTAAGTAGAGTGCCACGCCCACCTCTGAAATGATTACATAATTTCAATATAATTTTATAAAAAATGCTCAACTTGCACAATTTTGCATTTTCCTAATATTTTATGCAGACAGAATAAGGTATCCAAAAATGCAAAAACTTTCTACCACAAAACGACCTTTGGGGTGATTTTCCTATTTGGCAACTGGACTATGAGTCATCTTTGGGTTACAGCAGAGAAAAGCAGCCCATTGGCAATTCTTTCTCGATGTTTTGCAATATCAGGTGGAGGAATTGTGAGCACAGATGCTCCTGAGATAGCTCCAAAAGAAAAAGTCACAAAAATTCAAGAGAGGTGGACTTCCATTGGCACTTAGCCCTTGCACTGATTTTTACAATATCTAAAACTTGGTCCAGAGCCGATTTTGACCCACTGTGCAAATGGAAGGATTTCTCACCCAACCATTATGTGAATGAATGACATATCATTGCAAAGAGGAGAGACGTGGCCTTATGGTACATTGAATGAAATTGATGTAGTCATCACTAGTTTTGTGATTCTACGAGATAACTACTTGTTTCGTTTTTTATATGTAAATATGTATTTATGCATTTTACCATATCAACATTGATACGACTTTAACAAATGGATATATATCTATGCATATTTACAATATCGACATTCGAACGATTCTAGCAAAAGGAAGTTGGGAAAGCAACAGAAATGGCATCGAACACGGCATCTGATATTTGGGAGAAAAAAATGAAAACATTCCATACTGTCTGTGACAGAGATAATGACGGTGTTCTAACACGTAAAGATTATGAAGACATCGTTGCAAGGATGACTACATATATCAAGAAGAGAGGAAAGGAGCCGTCACAATCGAGGCTAGAAGCTATCCGAAAAAATTACGTCGACGTAATGTGGTGTGAGTTTGTTTCGCTTGGACCGATTAAAGGTAACGAGCGCAAAGTGAGTGTTGACGAATTTACGGCCAACGTTTTTCGATCACTTGCAATCGGTCTACCAGAATCAGAAAAAGTGGCAGCAATATCGCTCTGCAGTAATACCGCTGCGTTCTATTTTGATGTCATCGACTTTGATGAGAACGGTACCATCTCCTACGATGAATATGAAGATTTTCTTAACCTGATCGGTGCAGATCCACGACAAGCAAAAACCGCGTTCGATTCGATCGACGTTGATGGCAATGGCACCATCAGCCGTGAAGAATTCGCTAGTGCGTTCCTTGATTTCTGGCTAAACCCATGCAAAGGAGGTGTAGGAGAGCTGTTGTTCGGGACTCTGGTAGGCTAGTGCACAAACACTCGTAGTCTTCTATCTGCAATCATGCGATGATTTGTTCGAATAGTTTTCAACTTCGAGACTTTGACAAGAAGATATATAAATCGACTCTGAAGTGAACGCTTTCCATCTTATTATGATATCCAACACAACATACTATCAGATTATGATTATAGACATTTCAACTAAGAGTTTACCTAACAACAGTATATTTATTAAACATATACATTTGGCTACAACAGCCATTACCAATTTGCATATAGTGGCTTAACATGGGAAACTTCAGATCTTAGAAAGTGAATCTAATGCAGTGGACGAATGTGTTTATCTACATTCATGGATAAATGTATACATTTCTAAATCAAAAGATGCATAATTTCCGCATTTTTAATATGCAAAATATGTTTTCAGTGTTCAAGTGTGACATCAGAATCCGAAATTGTCATAATTTCTATTATAGCATATAATATATATATGTATACATTCATTGAATTCCCCATCTTATCCCTACCTTTCTGTAATGGTGCAAAGTTACCCATTTTAAGGACCACTTTTACTGCAAATTGATACTAAAGGGTGATGGTATGGTATAACATATATAACCTAATTATAATCATTATATATCAGCTTTGAACAATTCCCGATTACATTAATTTTGATGAAAGCACTTTTATTTATAACATTTCGAATAAGTAAATCCAATATATAAACCAATATACTAATGATCATTTAGGTCAAACATGTAAAAAACAACTTGCAAGTTAAAATGTTTTGGGACTTTCGAAATAGAATTTTTGAAAACTAATTTATTGTCTGTGTTTACTTTGCTCTTAAATTGTTATATCAAAACTATATTTGCTGAGGTTCTGATCCATGTTAGATTGGAATTCAGATTAATACATTTACTAGGGGGGAAACACTATTTTGGTGAGAAATTATTACAATGTATAGTTAATATGCTTCCTGGTCAACTCAAGCCCAAGTCAACTAAACCCAAGTCAAGTCAACCCTTAGTCAACTCGACCACAAGTCAAGTCAATCTTTAGTCAAGTCGACCCCAAGTCAACTCAACCCTTGGTCAACTCAACCCTTAGTCATCTCGACCCCAAAGATTTTTCTTGTTTTTTAAGGTTAAAATCTTACTTCAAAAAATAAACATTTCTGTTAAAAATAGATCAGAAGGAAGATTTGGTCAGGATCATAACATCTCAATCTGATTGTTTATGACATATGAGTAGGATAATGAAAAACATAAAACCCATTGTTTGTGCAGTTTTGATTTAAAATCTAACTTTATAAAGTAAACATTTCTGTCACATATAGATCAGATGAAATTTGAACTGGATCATAAAGTCTGTTACGTTAAATGTTATGTATAAAGTATAAAGTAAATCATTTATATTTGTTTTACTCTTCATATTTATGGAGGAAATAAAGAATTAACAAACAAACAAAACAATCAAACTTATGAGTAGGATAATGAAAAGAGAATACTATATTGTTGAAATTTTTATTGCATGCATAGTATTTGATATTATGTTTTCAGCAACAATTCCGATGTCACATAAAAGTGTATAGAATAATTGTCTTTACAATTGTAATTTTTAATTTCAGAGAGATAAAAATGTTTTACTTTTTAATTAAAGAAAATTAAAACTTCTCTAGATAAAACCAATATAATTTAATATTTTAGAATTAATTCACCTTACTTTTTTACAACCTATAAATTTGAAAAACAACTTAACATTTCATTCATATCTTTCTTATTTCTCCCTAATTCTTTCAAAATTCATCAATATCATAGTAAAAGGCATGTACATCTAATTGTTTTATACATGTACTGTAGATATTTAGATATGGTTGGGTCGAGTTGACTAAGGGTTGAGTTGACCAAGGGTTGAGATTACTTGGGGTCGAGTTGACTAAGGGTTGAGATGACTTGGGGTCGACTTGACTAAGGGTTGACTTGACTTGGGGTCGACTTGACAAAGGGTTGACTTGACTTTGGGTTGACTTGACCAGTTACCGTTTATATACGCCCAGGTTTGTAGCTTCAAAATTGTTTGCAGTAGGTTAAAAGAAGTACATAATATCATGAATTTAAAATTGAATGAAGTTTAACCAAAACCTTATGTGGCAGAACTATTGAGTGGTAACTTTAGGATGGATACAGGGCTAGGCAAGGGCGATCTTTTCAATACTTTTAGAGATGTTTGTAGTTAAATGAGAGATTTGGTTATTTGAGTTTGTGTCATGATTTTTTTTTAACTATTAAGTAAAAAGTCGTTCTTACCTTGTTGGTTAGGTGTAAGGTTTATTTGAACATGACTGTATTTACGCCTTCTATGAACTGTAAACAAAGTGAACAATACCCCTGGTAATACGTGTAATGTGTGACGTCATAACGGCGGGCCGTAGTAATAGCGGGCCATAATGAATATTATAAACATTTTGGTGAGTTTTCATGTTCGAATCGGTATATACCTCAGAGCAGGTGAAATATCGTCGAATACACCCCTTAGGACTAGGAACAAAAGGCTAGCCCTAAGGGGTTGTTCGGGATTAAAAAACGTTTGTGCCTAGCCCTGCGGTGTGTATTCGACAATATTACCCCTGCTCCTTGGTCTATATTTCTTAATTGGATCAACTGCAATTATAAAAAATAGCAATTTAATATATTCTTTAAATATTTCATTAAGGTAACAGTGATGGAGAACATGTTTAGCTGTCTGAGATTTGCTCTCAGTTGATTTACTGGAATTTCAAGGCTCCCAACTAAGTTGAGGATTTTTCAGTTGGTACCGATCTTTGGTTTTGATTTAAAAAGCTTTTTCATATGCTTTAAAGTTCGAAATTTTGCTTATATTGCGTACATCAATATGGAGACTGTACCATATGTCAATATAACTAAAGGTACATATTGTAATTTTGAAAAATATCATTGACATACGATGCATGGAACATTTTGAGAGCTTAAAAATAAAAGCAGCAATGTGACATTTCGTAGATCAATAAGATCTTGCCTGTTCAAAGTCCCCTATTAAGTTTAAACCACATTGGCTTATATTGTAGTCTTACCCAATGTTGTCCAAGTGTGATATGTGAAGCTTTTTTTTTATTTCAAAAAGTGGATTTTGAAGTGGATTTATTTTAAGCTAACTTTTAGAAATCACACGTATTTTTTTAGTAACCCACGATTCATACCAATGCATAGCAATCATCCTCGCATGTTTTTTGCGCAAACATTAAGAACATCGGTTCACAAATAAGCGAGAAATGAACTTGAAATGAAATAGTTCAGAGAAATGCACTTCAAAATTTTAGTTCTCATAGAAACCAAATGGTACAATGATATCTAAAACATAATATATTCTTCTTTTTAACCTGGTTAGACAATCAAAATTGGTTTATTATAAAATAATTTTAATAAAAAAACAAAACAAAAAGACATTTGGTTTATCATTGAAGTTTAGCATATTTAAAAAGGATTTGCAAAGAAAAAAATTTAAACTATTTTCAAAAAGTTTTTGCCACCCGAGTGGGTCATAATGACATCACTAATGTTGCAAAATATTTTTGATCTGCTAAAACATTGAAGTGGCCCATTAAATTTGGCGTTTTATTATTGAAATATTGTGTCCTTTGTTCAATATTTGCATTGGTGTTATCAATATAATCCTTTTTGAAATGTATGAAGAAATATTTGATGAATAAAAAATGTCAACTTTCTTTGGAAAATGGCAGGAAATTTGAATATTTGAGAAATGAAATGCTCATAAATAAAATTTTCAAAAATCTCTAAAATAAGTTTTAAAGTCATGACAAATAGTAAATGAATGATATATATTTTCAAACTTTACATGGGGACTTTACAACAATTTTGAGCACTGTATCAGTAATTAATCCACGAGTCACTCAAGTTATAATGCATGCTGTAAGATGTTTACTCTTTCATTTTCTGGTCAATGCCCCGGGTAGACTAATGAAATTCAACCTTGGGTATGCTTATCACCAAGCTGTAGGTTAGTGCTATTCAGAGGATCGGTTCTGGATTTCTTAAATATTTGATCGGCCCTCTTTGAGCCTTTGAAACTCATCACGAGTGTATAGACAATAGTGACGAAGAATTAATTAAGATCAGCTTGCAAGAGTTGGGACAAAATTTCAGAAAATGATTTTTAATGGGAGGTGTTATCTACATAGAGAAAGCAATTATTCATAAATAAATACTATTTCGCTTTTGTCATTTAGGTTTGCTTTACGTGCATTTAAAACAGTCAAAGTGTCATGTAGGTCCATGGGCATTCTATTGGAAATCCATGGGCATTATATTGGAAGTCCATGGGCATTCTTTTGGAAGTCCATGGTAGGTCGACCTCTCGTGATGTAATGTCAGACGCTGTAGCTTGTAAATATGCATCACATCATCGCAACTGTTTAGGAGGATGAATATTAATGAAATCAAAATTCACAGAGGATAGCGGTATTTTGAATGATAACATACGCATTTGAATTTTAGAAAAATTACCCTCTCCTTTACTCGAATAGAATTGACGTTATCATGTTTTTATAAAAAATTGACTGCGATAAGAACGGTTTTAGTATACATTTTGCAAATTTTATTCTAAACGTCGAATATACTATTAGATGCATTATCGTTATGTAATTTATGTGTCTGAAATGTTTATTAATGTGCTAGTCACGTTGCATAGCACACGTATGCATTTCGTTAATAATAATGTTAAAATACATTTAAATTATCCAGCTTCAAACAACTGGGAGTATGTGTTCATTGTACATACAAGTTACAAATAGTAAACAAATTGTAACTAAACATATCTTCGTAGCCGGTCGGAACATAAAGTTACCACTCTCCTTTTGGATAACGTTTCAATTCGCAATTATTTTAATGAAATCTTCACAGCATTAGAGCATTCCCAATAAACAAAACATTTTGTTTAACTCATAACAATTTTTCATTATTATTACAGGTTTTCAAAAATTATTGCTTTGTTAGTTGTGAGTTATAGTATAACACGTGACACGGTTGCCGAAACAGATCAGAAACTTCGTAGAATCGGTCAGAAGCTTTTCAGTTGTCTGACGAGCGGACGTTTCATTTTCGAGCTCAATTCAAGTTGTTAATTTTCGAGTTCGAGAGTTTATTTGAGTTAGAGTAAAGGCATGGAATTAACATGGAGACTAAACGTAAGTCTTTATATATTTACTATGTCATACTTCCTAATTTGAGTTTTTTGAAGACATTTTAGTCGGAAGTGTTAATTATCAGAGCAGAGACTTTCGTTGTTTGTTTGTTAGCGCCAGGCTATATGTTTTTTAAATTAAGAATAGCTCTATTGTACAAAATATAACAATCCAGATTTTATTCTGGATAAGTTTAGAATTTGAAAGACAATTTCTAAACTTGGGATTTTTTTGTTAACTATTTAAAGGATTATCGTCTTTCCTTTCAGCTTTTCCTCGGGCTATTGACGGCTTGGGCATTACTGTTCATTGCGGCTGAGGCTGGTACGTTACATCATCAATATATCCGCCGATATATAGCCAAGATGTTTGTCGAAGATGACCGAACCAACATGTACTTCAAGGAACCAATCATATTCCTCAAAGTGCAAGTGTTAGACTTCGGCCTTAAAGTGGGTTATGGGGTTCTTGAATTTAAAACAGCGATTTAAATGCTATGATTTGCAATCATTTATGGTGTTTCCCCACTGGCATTTGCGCTTGCATATTTATTAGGGAGGTAAAAATGCACGTTTTTTAAACTTGTAGTTAACGTGTAGAATTATGGTCCTCTGTGGATGAATTTTCTCATCTCTCCTGTTTAATTGGCCGATTGGGTAAAAAGTTTTACGGAAATAATTGTTATTAGGTCCTTGAAAAAGTGAAACGTACGATTATCCAAAAGAGTGACACATACAGGTAACACTATCGGATTCTGTACGGAGAACACATACGTTTATAGTAACGAAAACTACTGAGAGTGAAAAACGTGTGTATCATATATAATAGTGTCAGCCGACATACTCACTGAACTACTCAGTTTGAGTTATATTCCCGGGAAAAGATGTATTCATTAGACAGATAACCGTTTAACTCTTAACCCTAATGTGTACAACGTATTTTTCATAACACTAATGAACAGGGGGGGTCATACTCCCCTGGCGTTTCAAAACTTGAAGAAGTACAGTAACAGGTAAGGTATCATATTTTAGGCCATTCAAAATTCTTGAGGGGGTGGATTAAAACCTCAAAAAGGAGGTCAAATGGGGTCAAAATAGGTCAAAGTAACATAATGGTGAGTTTTTTTTGCGTATTTTTTACTTTTTTCAGTCAAAAACAACAAATAATGTTTTTTCTACCTTTTTAGGACAAAAAACCGTGGTCGAAAAGACAAAATGAAATGTCGAAAAATGGGGGGATGGGAGACAAATCACCCTTACTTATACCCCTGGCCCAGGACATACCCCTGGCTATACTATGTTGTAAAAATATTGGATATTGGTTGAGTATTAGCTGAAAAATTTGTTTTTAATGCATCTCGGCTAGCGAAAAACGCAATCTCGTGTGTTGAAAATAAGTGTATTTGAGCCAGGACTTGCAACATTGACATATTTTCATAGTTTATTTTATTTCTAATTATAGATGCCATATGTTTCTACTGGTACATGATCACAATATTACATAGAATCGCATGTTTTGCTTTATATTTACTGATTGATGAAAAATATTTAAAAATAAATAAAGCCACCCGAGATGACAGAAATTTTTCTCTCAAAAAACCAGAAATTCAAATACAATTTACTCTTACCCACTTGTTTGTTACATACTTCAAATAATTGTGTAATATTTTGATGCATATATATTCTCAAGTTTGTAAATTTTATATGCATATTAAGATGGGAAAATGACTAAAAATAGCCGCGGAGACAAAAAATTATTTCTACAAAATAAATATATTAAAGATATGGTTATAAATATTGTTTTGCATACATCTGACAAACATGTTCAGGACATTTTTAATACAATACTATATACTATGTTAATACTATACTATATGGTCTATATCCAAAAGAAAGTAAAAAGAGCCAGATTATATATTTATTCTATGAAACCATAGAGATGTTGTGATTTTCAAGCAATTTCTGAAAACAAAATCTCAAGTTCCCACCATTTTAACTCAGCCAAGTTACCCCCGATCGCCTCGATTTTTGCACCAAAAATGACCTTTTATCTGTAGCTACAAGAACAACGGTTATCAAAAATAGTTTTTCTCGGCAGAGAAGTACGAAGAAATCCGGATGGGGGGGGGGGGGTCATCCGACCCCTGTACACATTAGGGTTAATGGTTACTTCTTTTCTACACCTTTTGAATCTCAATCACAGATATATATCTTTCTAGCATTACCACCGACTGGGGTAACATTCAAACCACATCATTTCTGCAGAGATGAAGAGTGGCTGTGGTGGGGCGAGAACAAGGATTACTTTGATCCGAAGTGCTCAGAGGGTGAAATGATAAAAGTGACAAACGCTGAATTGTATCCAGTTCAACAGAATCTCACGTGCGTTATGAATAATTCTGAATGTCGTCACGACTATACCAAGTCAGCCTTTGACACGTGCATAAACAAAGAGGTAAGCCAGGGCTTTAATTTATCCCAATCAGAATTTTTTCAATCGATTTCCATTAAGATCCCGAAAGTTTAATGTTAATGCATATCAAATGTTATTCCACAGTTAGCATGATATTCATAGGATAACATGTGAAAATAAAAACGGTATTTTTGTAATCAGTGGTAAAATATGATATTTTTGACAAATTTTCACTTAACCATAGCATACGGTTTTTTAGCCATGACATACGATGCGTATGCGATGGTTTATGGATTTTTGCTACTTCAGACTCAAAACGAGGCTAAGTGTCAACATCGCCGGATCGTTTGGAAAATTCGAATTAAATGACTTAATTTCCGACGATTCTGATGATGACTTTAACTATGGAATAAAAAGAACATCCTATGATTTACTCGTGATATGATTTTAATCCACTCATGGTTATTGATATCTGCACTCTCTCGCTACGCTCGCTCGTGCAGATATCATATCCATTCGTGGATAAAAATCATATCGCTCATAAATAATAGGATATCCTCTATATATTTGTTAATTTCGAGGATATCAAAGAAATACAATTTAAGAATTCACGAATCATACCTTCAGCTCAAAGTTACTTTTCAAACAATCCATCTCCCCTTGAGAATGAAATGCTGCGTTATTATTTGTTTGCAGGTCTGCCTTCCTATGGTCAATTACGAGGAATCAAAAAAGTCCTGCTGCGAATACTTGCTATGTCATACAATAGAGTTTGAATGTGTACCAGGTGAGAATCAGACTAGTGTATTTTTTACTAAACCCCATATTTAAAGAATAAAAAGATAATATATCATGTTTTAACAGTTAATTACAATAAGTACATTTTACAAAATCATGTCTTTGCATTTTCTTTTTTAAATGCATTTTCAATCGGCTATATAAAGCATATATTCAACCAAAATGGCAACATCTGTAATGTATTTTTAAAATACCTACATATCTGACCTCTTATTAAGCTACTATATAATCAAATTCTCCTGTAGTAGTTGTGAATATGCACATCAATCTATCCATGCATTATTTTGTTCTGTATTATGGTACATCATATTAATATACAGCATGTTTGATAAATGTGAATAGACGATGCTGGTACATGTAATTACTTGTATATATGTATCTATATGTACCTTTGATACTCCTGTAAACTAGTCCCAGAGATATCCTGATATGTAAAATTCTAAAAGGTCCAAAATTATGTTATATATTTCAAATGTTGATAAACATATACTGATCTGCTCCAGCAATATACAAATCTGAAAATCTCACAAACTTAAAAGCATGAAACACTTATTTTTTAGACTGGGAATTTTGGAACTTAATAAGAAGGAATGTAGTTAGAACCTCAGAATGTAAAAACTAAATAACGGTTTTGTAATGGGAGGCTTTGGATATGGGGTTTATCCCAAGGGAAGGAACGCAGTGACAAAAACCTCCCTGTACATATTCTTTATTAATTCTGAAACATTTTTTCCCTGGGAAGTAAACAGGGAATATAACTGATATTAAAAAATCCCAGTATCAGCCAAAAGCCCGTATTGGATTAGGTCATCATCATTGGGCGACGACATACTAATCAAAGGGTCTAGTGCGCCTTTCATTACGATTTCCCAATGAACAAAATGAATCATTTTTAGGTGTAACATAAGAAATACAATGTCACATAATACTATAAATATTTAAGCGTTTGGACCCACATGGGCTGAGGTTGAGGTCATTAAGTTCAGCAAGTTCAATGCAGTGCTGAATATAGGCCAACAAGATACTAGTGTAGATATAAAGTAATAATAAAAGCAGTATATTTATTTTGAAAAATCAGATTTTTTTTGTTCATGGGGAGATCATAATGGAGGGCTCACTAGATCCTTTCAGAAAAACATTATGGAATAAATAGGTTATTGATGGTCGAGATGGAATATGAATTTTTCCTCGAAAAATATGATATAGAGTCCATTTCACTGCTTCAGTTCGTCAGTAGAACGGCAAAAATAAGAAATTGGGAGACTATTGTGCAATAATATATGGAAAAGTATATTCATAATGTACATGAATGACATTTGTATATTTCAGATTTTTTAGTTTTTTGTGCAATAAGCCTGTGCCGTCTTGTAATTTGAAGAATTTCAGCCATGTTAATCTTATTGAAAATAACATGGCAGAGAAACATCCAAATATAAGAGGCCACACACTTTATAAGCCAAACTAGAAGCAATCCAAGATATACAAATGTCATTCATGTACATTATGAATATACTTTTCCATATATTATTGCACAATGGTCTCCAAATTTCTTATTTTTGCCGTTCTACTGACGAACTGAAGCAGTGAAATGGACTCTAGACCTTGGAAAATATATCACATTATTGACACTCGAACTGTCGCCCTTGGTCAATATGATATTGTCCTTGGTCAATATCATATTCTCCCTCAAAATAAAATTCATATTCCATCCCTCCGATTAAATAACCTCTATGTATGCGAGGGTAAGCAATAATCAATCGATTTCTTGAATGTAGTGATGAACAAAGATCAAAGTACTACAGCTGTTGTCTTTCATCTTGATTCTGCTTCTTGGAGACTTATATATGATAAACGGGCAACATTGAGTGGCCATTTGTAAAACTTCTAATTTCACATTTCTCCTTTGATTTCTAGCTACATGTAAATTGCCTTCGACACCCTCTAATGGTCAGATACTCACCTCTGAGCAATCGAATAACTGGAACGGATCTATATCTTATTCATGCAAAAAGGGCTTTTCATTAGCGGGAGAACAAACAAGGAGGTGTATAAGAAAAGGGACCGAATATGGCAATTGGGCATACACTTGGCCAGGAGTGGAATACAGCTATACCTGGTCGGGGAACGAACCAGTATGTGGTAAGTTAAATATTAAGATAACACCTCCTCTCGGGAACACAAAGCGAGTTCTCATTACGCGAAACAGATCTCCATTATTAGATTATGTCATCCAGATTATGTCTTTTATCAGTCGTTATTTCGTGCAAATACTTCCCACAATGAAATATAAAGTTTCGAAGGACTTGATTACCAATTTTTAGACGTTCATAAAAGTTTGCAACAGGTTAGTGTCCATTTTAGTGACGGCGTTTAGAGTCCGACGTCTGGCGTTCGGCGTTTGGGTTTTGTAACAATTTAATGGCATAAGGTTATATTTGCATGTTAATGCCGTGTGTATTTGTTTAAGTAGAAGAGTGACGTCATGTTGACAGAAAGCCCTAAAGATCTAGACCATCTTAAACACTGTTTGATTATACTACTACTACTGTCTTAGCACTAATAAATAAATTATTCAGTTTCAAACTAAATAGTGTGTTCATTCCAAAATTGATTTGCCTATATATCTCTGAGACTCTTATCTCAAGGATAGAATGCAAAAATAAAGCAAAATATTTGCTATTATAGACAATATATCTCTAAAACCTTGAAGTGATTTTATTTGTTAATCCTGCATTGGGTCAGCCATTTTTGCGGAGGTTGTATAGGAACACAAATCCCGTGGAACGAAACAAAGTGCGTCACAGTAATTTGAAAACAATCAGATTGTTTGGATATACATGTACGTTGACCGCACGTGTAATATAGCATATTGAATTTTCTTTCCAAAATGCTTATTTCATGAAAATCGAGCCACTATTGACTGTGTTAAGAATTTCTAAAGGTATAAAACAGTCAATCCCCAAGTAGCCTCGAAATCCGTTCTGTGTATGAATTTGAAGTTTGCATATTTCTAAATGTTCACTCATGCACATTGTGGTACCAGAATTATGATGATACCCTTTTCCAACTTTTAGATATCATTTTTCTCCCCTCCCCTACCTGCTATCTTTGAAAGTGTGTAACTTCAGTTCTAGAAAAGATTTTACGATTATAAAAAATTATTGTGACAGAAAATTGAAAATTGATCACAAACTGTCATAAAATGTACACCCCCTAGATCACGTTGACCTCGATTTGACCGATGTTGACCTACCTTTTTAAAAAACGAAACTTTTTTCGAAAAAATATATACTGGACTCGGCTGTCGCCTCGCCCAATATTCATATCTCGAGTAGGTATTCTGCCATATCCAGCTTCTGATCATCCAGTATTTGTATTATATGTTTTTCTCTTCCTATTGTAGCACATTTTGTTGTATACCTCTATGGTTTAGTTAATTGTGCTATCCCAGTTGCAGACATGGATCAAACATTATGTCCATCGACTGCTTACAAAAAGGAGACACTTGGTTCCAAGTGCTATGAATTCCATGACGATCAGCAGACGACGTTCCAAAATGCTAAAGAAGCCTGTGGGAGTAGGAAATGGAAATTGGCAACAATAATTAATGCAGACACGCTTGGTCTCATACGACATCACATGGATTATGGTCATAGATCAAATTACAAGTACTGGATAAACGGTAAAAACATTTCTCTCACTGTTACCTTGTTCTAATTGCACAACGATAAAAAACAATCATGAAATTCATTTATAAGTGGACATCCACAATTGAATGTAAACATTAATTTCACGAAAACTATGAGAATTAATGAAAAGGGGACAAAACCCGTGGAAAATGTTGCACAATCAATGAAGTTCTATACAAGACCTCTTTGTGTATTATTAAAGCATAAACTGCGTTAGATTTTCAAAAATTAACCAAGGCGTCATTTGTTTTTTACTCCAGTGCTTTTCAATTAATTTTGAATTTCTGGATGATGTATTTCTTGACATTTTGACAAAAAATAATTATAGAATAACGTGAGGATGTCGTTGTTGCCACGCCGTTTAAGTACCACACCGTGATTTAGGTCTTGAAAAACTCAAGCTTGAATATCTTGGCTTCTTGCAAATTTTTCTGCTGTTTGCCATATTCTCCTGCTCAATTACATGATTTATGATTAACTAATTGCTTAATCAAGTGCTATTGTTTCATGTTTTTAGTTGACCCTAAGTTTAATGATTCGATTGAAAACTCTTGGTGTGCGTATGCATATTTCGCTCAACCATCCGTTGGATATTACGACCCAAAGGAAAACGATGGTCGATGTTCGAATAAGTACGGATATATTTGTGAATATGGTAAGTACAGTAAACGTGTATTTTGATAACGTTAGATTTACAAGAAGGAAATGACTGGTTACAATGTATACCCTTGCCATTATACCAAAGTAAAGGTTCACTATATGTCAAAGATTGACTTAATCATTTTTGAATATGAACTCAGGATTCTACAGTGAGATAATATTATGCAACTGGAAATACCGATTGGTATAATTATGAAAAATTGACTTTTTGCATATAATGTTAGATATAGTTTGAGTTAAACGCAATGACGCATCTCAACATTTCTCAAGCACTGTTATGTGGGGGATGGAGAGGGGTCACAGATAATTAACTGTTCAAGCACAGTTAAATTTTCCGTTATCAATATTTTGATATGCTCCCTTAAAAAGATATAGTTGTGAATAAAAATAAACGTCATCGGAAGACAAATTATACTTCTATAATTTATAACTGTATTATTTTTTTTATATTTACACGTTGTTGTTTTGGATAATACATGTACTAAGCCTGTTAGTTTTAGAAAATAATGTCTTATCATTAAATTACAATTTTAGAAACATTGAATGTGACATCTTGCGATGCTCTCGTTACACCAAAAAACGCCCATAGAAGAGGTACAAGTCGAGCAGTCGGGAGTATAGTAAGGTTCTCTTGCTACCCCGGCTATACTGGATATCCCATCAGAGCTTCCGGGACTTACACAAGAGAGTGTCGCGACAATGGAAAATGGGATGGCATCAACCCAGATTGTCAAAGTACACATTTTATGTATAGATAAATCTAATGTAACATGATTTACAGTGACAGATCAGATCCAAGGGGGGGGGGGGGCATGAGGCCTGCCCTGCCCCTTAAGGTGTGCCCCAAATACATTTTAGGCACCAAAACATTTTTGGCACCAACACATTTTTGGCCCAAATGAGCCCAATAAATGGCATTTTTGGCTATTTATGGGCCTTTTTGGCATTAAAGGCCATTATTGGCCGTGATTTTCCAAAACTCCATGCGCGGAAGATTTTTTCAAGCCCCCTTTGTCTATGAATCCGCCAAAGGTTGATATAGTGAAAAACATAATCAATGGTGTTAGTACTTTGGGCTTGCGCTATACTAAGCCGCGTGTTTTTCTACCATGTTCAAATACTAGCTCAGTAGTAGTACTGAATATCAATATACACTCAAGAATAAAAACGATATCCTTCAAAAATCACTGAAAATCACTGGAAATCCTAAAATATAATTCATGACACATTTGCCATTGTCAAATGACCTAAATAGAGAACTTGGGTTGTTATTCTCTCTGATAGAATTTAACTCAAATGTGAAATTGATCAGCTTAATTATCGATTTCATTAGTTTTACTAGAATCTCAGAATAGCATGGGGTGCATTAGAATGATGGGTTGTTGGTTATATAATGCAATGCAATTATATGAATTATATTGGCTAGAATTGGAAACACCTTGCCAATCTATGTTTGAAAGTTTTATTAATATGTTTTACAAATCTCCTCTTTCTACCACTGCCCCCAGCCACCTTTATATCAGCCTAGATTCCCGTCATAATTTGTTGTCAATTTTACAGTCGCTGCTACCGATGATCTTGTCAACTGTATGGCAAAATGTCTCGGGAAACCCGTCGAAGACGTTGAGATTCAGAAATGGATTGCCAAATGTGGAAGTGGCAATAAATGCTGGTTTAGAAAGGCTGGATCCGCCGGTCGGGAATGCATTTCAAAATGTTCTCAGTAATGCACTTCGATTTTGAATAAAACTATCATTATTGATTTACATTGCTAGTCAACAAAAAGAGAAGTAGAAAACTGAGATTACTTCAAACATAGCAAGTCTAATGGCCTAGTCACATAGCCCGGCCGATGAGGTTCCGATGAGCCAGCGATGCAATTTTCACCGAACTCCGCCGGACATCCGTGGCGTTTGTTGCTTAAAACCGCATCGGTGGCAGCTCGGTGAAATTTTAACTTCGGAGTTAAATTTCACCGGGCTCTCACCGAGTTCCCTCATCGCAGCCCCATCGTAACCACATCAGAACACACGTCGGCCGGTGCACGGCCGAGTATCGGTCGGTGTCCCGTGCATCTGAGACAACCAGAGGACGAGGTTTTTTTAACGGACACCGGCCGAGCTCCGACCGAGCTCCGGCCGATGTGGGACAGAGCCTTTGAAAGTATAGTACCTGAAGATGTCCGGACGGAGTCCGTTCACGTCACCGAGCTCTGCTTCCGATGAGGAGAGCTCGGTGGCACCAAAAAAATCCACCGAGCTCTACCGATGCCGGACATCGGCCGGGCTATGTGACTAGGCCATAAGTGTAGATACATGTAGGCTTACCTTTTTCTGGCGACATCTTTAATTCTAAAACAATTTAACAGGTCCATTCTATCCTCGTAATAGTATGCTAATATAAAAGTAAATACTTTTTAAAACCACATATCTAGATGTAATTTTAATGATGTAGACTTCAAACACGAAATCACTTTGACATTTAAATATTCAATGACGTTTATGGTGTTAAAACTGCTTCTTTATTCGGTACATTCAATATTCCATAAATACCAAATAAAACAAACAATTTACCAAACCTTTACCCAATCTATCGATTTTTTCTATTTATCTCTCTATTTTTTTATTTTATCGAATGTAATAATCTATACAATTTATATTTCCTAAATAGTTTCACTTGTTCTTTGTGTTGGCATTTACATTTGATATTTATACATGTATTTGTGTGATGCAGCGAATCAATTTGTTTTCCTAAAAGCACGTATAATTCAATTAATTATTTGTACATTCGGTATTTAAATTATTTATATTCGGTAAATACCGAATGCCATATTCGATAAATTTCGTTATTTTTTGATTCTTTACGAGACTTTCAGTCACGTGATATATTTGAAAGATGTAGAATAGGTGCGCGGCCATTTTGCAAATCTCGATGTCACGTGACAAAATATCGAACAACAACGAAAGTTATCGAATATTACCTCATTGCATTCGGTAAATAGCAAATTAGCTTTCGGTAAAATGCATTAACTTTGTCATAGAAAAATATACCATTTGGTAAATATAGGCAAACTTATTTCGGTAGGGTTCAAATAGAAATTCAATATTGTGCATATAATGTGTTACAAAATTACGAAAAAAACATATCATTCAGCGAATGAAATATGTAATTTAATGCACAAAGTATTAAGTGATTGTCTATTTTGAAAACTGTAACAAACATATAAACGCTTTTACCGAATGGAAAATGATTTAGCGAATGTAAATATTTCATATATGAGAATAATAAATAATATGAAAAAACAATAAAGTGCATATCCTTGAAAATGCTATATAGCATTTTGACAAAACAATCACGAGTCACGACATCTCTTTGAATATTTAAGGTATTTAAAATGTCAAAGCCAGTGACTGAACTTTCTCATCTTGCTGAAATTCCTCAATATATGAAATGTGGTCTCTAAAACAATGTACACTGCATGTTAAAAGATATCTAACTCAAAAAGACATTAATGATTGCTCTATATTGAAAATAATTGTAACTATAAAAGCAACATGCATTGAGTGGAGCAATAAATATTTTAATTGGTTGCCAAGAATAGTCGGAATTCGGACAAATGTTCAATAAATCATGAATCCCTTGATGGTTATAGTTAACTGGAGACATGGAAATATTTCCAGAATTGAACAGAAATATTCAACGAATTAGACAACATACTCGTTGTATTCTTTTTAATTTCTATTCACCCATGTGTTTTTTATTTGTTGGTCTAGGTCTGCGAGAGCTTAATAAGCTCATTGGCATCTAATAATTGTTGGTCTAGGTTTGGTGCTTTAACCTTTGCGCACACTTAGCCATCTGCGAGAGCTTAATAAGCTCATTGGCATCTAATAATTGTTGGTCTAGGTTTGGTGCTTTAACCTTTGCGCACACTTAGCCATCTGCGAGAGCTTAATAAGCTCATTGGCATCTAATAATTGTTGGTCTAGGTTTGGTGCTTTAACCTTTGCGCACACTTACCCATCTGCGAGAGCTTAATAAGCTCATTGGCATCTAATAATTATTGGTCTATGTTTGGTGCTTTAACCTTTGCGCACACTTAGCCATCTGCGAGAGCTTAATAAGCTCATTGGCATCTAATAATTGTTGGTCTAGGTTTGGTGCTTTAACCTTTGCGCACACTTAGCCATCTGCGAGAGCTTAATAAGCTCATTGGCATCTAATAATTGTTGGTCTAGGTTTGGTGCTTTAACCTTTGCGCACACTTAGCCATCTGCGAGAGCTTAATAAGCTCATTGGCATCTAATAATTATTGGTCTAGGTTTGGTGCTTTAACCTTTGCGCACACTTAGCCATCTGCGAGAGCTTAATAAGCTCATTGGCATCTAGTAATGTCATCTCACCAGATATCTGACGTCTCCAATCACTCAAGTCGTTTTGCTTAGCCTCAACTGAAACGCAAATTCAAAGTTTACAGTGAACGAAAAGGGTGAAATATTAAATGTCCTGAATTATTTGAGAACTAAAACAAAACAAAATTAAGATGGTCGTCATGCGTACATTTTAAAACGTGACCTTTTTACATAATCAACACTACCTTTTTCACTGCCATCCATGGTCGATTCATCATTGTATTCATTGTCTATAAAACTTGTCTCAGTAGATATTCGTTTGCAGCTCCTTTGATTCTTTACAATATTCATAACATCTGGCACTGGACAAATTGGCTGTAGCACCTACAACGTCAATTTAAACCACATTTTGTGATGTATTGAAAATACTCCTCATTAAGTAAAACAGAATACAGATAGGTAACACTAGCATACGTACATCGTTAATACGTCTATCGTAAATATTGTTTTGAGATGATATCGAATATATGATGTGACGATGCACTTAACGGCCCACTATACTTAATTTAGAAGAAGAAAAAATAAAAAGAACAATCATTGAAACATGTTACTCACACACTTGCTCAAATATGAAACAAAGTTTGATTTACTTTAATATTGAACCAAGAAATAACTCACATAGAAAAAAGCATTTGTAGTTCAGAGATCATTAGACATGCATGCACATGTAAAACAAATTGCATGTTTTAAATTGCTCTTGGTTGAAAAGATGGCGACGCTTCTATAAAAATGGATGTATCATGTAATACAAACACTTCGCCATCTTTCAATGACATTGATAAAAACTTGATATATAAAGCTTGACAGATATGAATATTTTTTGAAAATTTATTGTAAGCTTTGATGTGGTCCATTTGAGCTGTTGTTGGTGTCAAATGAAAGATAAGGTTCTTATCAATACATTAGACATACTATGACATTTAAATGTAAGTCTTTATTTTGCCCAAAAATGTTAAAAATTCCCAAAGTGGGCCTTTAATGTTACTGTAATATTTGATTCACATCAATTGTACCTTTATTGTTGTCCCTACTGCTCTGTTAAGATTGTGTGTTGGTGACCCCATTAATGAACTTGGTGACACCTTATTGGAAGTTGGAGTCTGGAATATAAGGACATTAGTACACAGTTAGATATTCATGATCCAAGTTTATGAGATGTAACAAGGTTATAGATGTTGGCTATATATTGATAAACATGCAGGCATCAATGCAAAAAGTTCGAAGGGTAAATTAGAAAGCATATAAAGGGCTGTTTTTCATTTGACCGTTTGTACATCATTGAGTTTTTAATGCTCTTTCGTCATTTCGATATTGTGCTTTTATTTCATCCGCTGTAGATTATCTGATGATTTGTTCATCAGATCAATTTAGCAACATGCTGATAGTACAGTCGAATTATGAGTGAACCGATAATACAGGCATGCCAGATTGGAACTGTAGGATCTCAATTTCATTAATCAGTTCTTGAATCAGCTCTTGCTAAGTAATCAAAATGATTAACCTGCACTGCCTGTATGATAGCAGTTAATTCCACGATGATTGCTACAACAACGTTGAGAACGAGAAGTTGCATGAGAGTGTAGAAGCTGACGAAATACAGGGCTGACCAATAGGACGTCGCGGCTATCACTCTGTTCATCAATCGGTGCCATATTGAACCAATCACAAGCTGGATTGCAAAATGTGTAACAGATATGTATACAAACTAGCCAGATTGGAAAAGACCACGAATTGTTACTGAACACAGCAAAAAAAGAAAATATCGAGGAGTTCATGAATACCAGTTATGAGGAAAACAAACTCCATTGAACCAATTAATTAAGATACATTGTTTCTCTCGTAAAATAATCGCCATTCAAATTGCCGATTGCCAAAGCTCGGAACAAATTAGAGAACATGGCTACAGAGTCTGGATAAAAGGTGCATTCCAGCCTCCAGAAACAGTTGAATATTACAATAATTGCAATGCAAAATCTAAACGTTTTTGGAAAGTAGTTAATATCAGACAAAATGTAAACATGTACCTGGAATATTGTCAGTAGGGCACATCTGAGGTCGCCAAACCCATAACCACACAAAGCTTTAAAGTCGGATGGCTCGCCTAAATCTGAAAAATAAATACTAGTGTCAGTGAAATATGAATACACTAAGCAAAGAATACGAAAAAGCAGCTCGCATTTCCGCAATGGGAAAGGCAGTCAACACATTCAGTAAAAGATGGTGACCTATATGAGTCAGACCATTACTTAATTGCAGAGTTCGAAACTCACAGCTGAATGACTGCTAATGGCAATCTCTTTTTAATATTGGCAATTGGAAAACGGGTTGCCTTTTTGGCAATGGACTATGTGTGACATCATATTTCAACCTTAGTTATTAACACTGTTTCATTGAAGAATGATATTTTAATAAGTGACTACTTACGCCCATACAACTCCATTCCGAGCACTGCCCACACGAAGGCTATTATAGCAATTAGAGACGTTAGAACACTAACTGGAAGTATCATTTCTCTCAGCCACAACCAAAGAAACGCAGGTGGGCTGAAATGTTTCAAATCCAATGTGTGTATTGTTCTTCATCACCACAAACATTACATATTGAGTTCATTTAAAGTTCTACATTATAGTAACATGTCAAGTTTGACCATTGAAAATCTGTAATACACATGTAATATCATAATCTATCATCAATACTAGATCGCTTTTTCCAAAATAATATTGTTATATATTTTCAATGAACATTGTTATCCGGTTTTTCCGTATCCAGTCTTTGCCTCCGTAAGAGGAAATGCTGTAGTGTTTGGATTTCACTAAAATTACAGATAACACAATTATTTTATATTTCTCCATAATGTTAATGTAAATTAGTGGTATCGATATGGTGAACATTTTGAACGCGCGTTTCTCTTAAACCAGACACCTACTGAATTCAGTTCACCATATCGATACATATCCTTGTTATATTTTGTGATCTCACAGTTTTGTAATTTTCAGTAAGTTTGTCATCAAGATTAAAATATAAACGAAAAACAGACATGATAATGGCATTATACAAAGAGCATAGCATTCAAATATACCTAACAACTGCTAAATACTTCAACAGTATGGCCGCGAAGACGACAGTCTTTGCCCACATTCTCAATGCCAACGTATCATCTGTCGCCCCTACGTAGATGTAGCTACACAGGGATACCAATAGCAGTGATACGTCTAGAAGGTTGGTCCATACCAGGTACATCCTACCATGGGCTACACACTACATTGTAATCAAAACAGTGAAGCGTTTAGTATAAAAATGCATAGTTTGCTGTATTTGCCTATATTTATAATATGATTGTCATTACATGACAAGATACATCTATTGACAAAAACATGATTGCAAATCTGAGATTCTATAAATTTGTTTACGAGTTTGTATACATTCTATATCCACTGCTATTGAACAGTTACCTCAACAATTTGGGATGATTTAAAACAATTGCTTTCGTGGAACATCATACTTGAATGTGGGGAGACATTCGAAGAAACATTTTGTACCATATGCCATGTAATTCAAAAACACATAAATGGAACCTATGTTAAAGGTCGCCGTTAGCTTTGGTTTCATAATGGAGATCTTGTTAAAAAACAGATCCCGACCTTAAAGGATAGTTATTCATGATAAATACCTTGATTACATTATCAAAAACGAGTAATATGAGGATGAAAAACTGTACATAGAAGATGCTCCAGAGAACCACAGCCGGCATCTTGTACCACACAACAGCGTAGAGAAGCAGAAACACCAAGTGTAAGATCTGTAATTCAAAACTATGATATTTCAAATCTCTACATGAAAACAAATTAAATTGTTAGATCTGGAATTCAAACGCAAAATCTTCCAATACACTGCGTGGAAAACGGCATCAACTGTATTGATTGATTTTGAATTAAAGCGCATCATCTTCCAAACTACATGTATGTGAATATCTAAGCACACGTGCAAAGGGACGAGGACCAAAAATTGTAGAGGAACCTAGCAATGCTGTTTAAGATTACATATAGGTACTGTACGTTCTGGAAATCCTCCAGCGAACTATTTGTTTCAAAACTTAATGTTTTTTTGCTTTTCAAGCCTATTTAATACATTGTACCTTGACGAAGTAGACCATGTATTTGCTGCTCGCCAGTTTCATGCAGATTTCTCTCGGATACGAAATAGGAGCGATAAACCCCTGGCGTCTTTGAATCGGTGGCTACAAAATAAACAATACATGGACACAAACTAGAATAGTAATAATTTGTCTCATTTGGGCATTTTATAGCATTAGTGGTATATCATTCTATTATCTATAAAATATGACAGTTCTCTACAGGGTGTCAAATTAATATGTTCTCCCGTTGATTCCAAAAGTATGAACTTTTGTGCATAACAGTGCATCTAATTGAGCTAGTTATCTGAAACTTCTTGTAAGCCTAGTTTTGATGGGCCAAAGAACAATCCAGATATCATGCAGACAAAAAGTTATGCAACATTATGAAGATGCTAAAGGTAGAGGGGGCAGAACACATTTATTTGACACCCTGTTTATATGACGTTTGATTTTGTTTTTTCGATAGAGTTTGAAATGATTTTAAATTTTATAATGTGCAATTATTTCAACTTAATGTGCTAAAATGAAAAGATATAATTTACGTGTAGAGTATTCACGTACCTTTCTTTCGACAGAACTTCGGAGAATTTCAACTGTCGAGAAAAATTCCAGGAGTGTAACGTTAGTTCTTTCCGTGTTCTTGGAGCTCTCTTTGAATTTCTACAAAAAGTGTACAAAAATGCGATCGTTTCACTTGACATTTAAGTAGATGCAGATGGTTAATATTTCTAAAATATCGAGGATCTAGAGATATACAATTGCTCATTATGTTCTTCACATTACAGTACGTGCTCACCATGAAACGACTGGTGACCTCTACCTCGTTTGGTTCAACCTTACTCTCCACGAGGAACGGGTACAACCTGAAAAGCATCCGCACAACCAATAAGCCGCCAATGCGTCGACGTTTTGGGTCATCTTTTCACATTAATACTGCTAGCATATAGAGATGTGAGAGAGGTGAAGGGAGAATGGGTAAGGGCCCATGCTTTGGATCCACTATTCTTTAGTATTCCATTAACTGATCCCCTTTTAATAGCAACATCTTCATGTCCAGGTGAGCACGGCGTGCTTGTTTGTCCAAAAGGCACCAAAGAGTTGCATACACATTAAATCAATGAGAATATGCTTTACCTCTTCCAAGTCTCCAATGTCATGACACCAGTCCCCTCAGGGTCCAGAATCTCAAATGCCTTCACCAAACATTGTCTTTCTTGAAACCTCTCTTCCTTGGCCTAAATAAAACAAGACTAAAACATACATGTACATAAAACAACCATGATTTCCAAGGAACTGAATACAGAATGTATTGTTACAATAGAATGTACCTCAAGTTTTAACTTTAAAACGCAACGCTGTTAGCTTACAATCAATATATTAAAAAAAACATACCCTAACTTTGTTGGCGATCTTGTAATAGTCGTATATCCTTGCAACAAGTATGGAAAATAATAGAAACTGAAAATAGAAATACGATGCTCTGATTTAATCAACATCATATATTCTCTCAGTATTCATTCGGAAGGAAGTTACCACTTTGGGAATAGTTAGTGATATTTTGAGACAACTTGTTTGTAAACACGTGGAATAGAGTGTTGGTATAACTGTATGAGAACACTGGTTATATGCAGGTACCTTATTTATTAATTTATTCAAATGTCAACTAAACAAGAGGGAGATACATGTATTACTATTAATTCCACGTCCAAGTTATTTTAGTGTAGCTTAGCAGGGACAAGACATCCACTTTTTCCTTCCTACTTCTTGTGAATGATATCTGGACACCCGTGTTCAGCCGATGTGTAGAGAGGAAGGCCAAAGTGGGTGATTGTGTGATGTTGGACCCCTGCGTTAGAGTGATGCATTTTAATGTTGAATACGTACATTTCCAGACATGATGGCGAATCCAAAGAACATCATATTACTGCCATCCGCATGATAAGCTGGGACAGCAAATCGTGGATAGTTGCTCGCTATATTGAGAACACAGTTATTGTGATTAAAAAGACTGTAGTTATTTAATTGTTAAGACGCAGTGCCGAAAACCTTAGAAATGAATTAAAAGAATGTCCACTTTTAAATTTAAATTCATTGGCAAGATAACCTTCAAATGGAAGACTTATTCTGAAATACGGTCTTCTTTATAATAAAGTGACATTGAGTGATCGGGGTAAGAAATATGATTGTAACAATTTTTGAAATTTTCAACTCGTCTCGATCAATTTTACTCCCTTTAAATTTGGCAAATATTAAATTTGTTGCATGTAAATTACCCTTTGTTCAATTTACCCAAATACGGAAACACAATAACCTTAGAATATATAATATTCGTAAAATAACTAACTTGTGAGCAGGACAAACATTCTAAGTGCGGCCACCCCAATGTTATTAAAGGATCCAACGTAAATGCCATTTTCCTGACGCAAGAGAGCAGCTGAAATTACAAAACACAATAGTGATATTGTATGAATGCTACATCTACACGTACCACTCTGAGATATCATGGTCGTCTGAGAAAATGTGACAATTTCCCTCAGTAGGAGGGCCCAAGGATGTGGCAAAAACAGCACGCATTGCAAAAATGGTTAGCCTGGTGAAACATATGTGCTTGAAATTCGTTTTTCAGCAATAACATCTGATCAGAGAGAATGACAAACATAAAGAGATTTAACACGTCGTCATTAGGGAAGTTTCCAACTTTTTCTTTTCTTTGGGGGGGGGGGGGGGGTACGTACGATCTGTCTTATTGTTGTATATGTCCATAAATAGGTGGCAACCAATGGCGGCAAAGAAGATGTCGCATAATGCAATCAGTAAGAGGAAGCGCATAAAATCAGGCAGGATCAGCATCATTACAGCCCCAATACTAGAAGGTAAATGGAATAAAACATAATTGAATATTATAATATGCTGTGTTTTTATTTGAATTTTGGTCTATAAAATATGATTTCTTGAACACATTTTCAACAAAGTGACCCCGAGTACGTGGGTTTTAGTCCTGTGGGCTTCTTCGAAATGAAGTCCAGAGCTCTCAATGACTTATTGGTGATTTATTGCATCTTTTGTTCTAGATTGCAGTTCAAAACGAGTATACTAGATGACTTAAAAGATTTATTATAATTGGTAAACACGTATCGTAGTGAACAGGATAGTGGAACCTTTTCTTTGAAATGAAAGCCATGTTCACATACCCACGAGTAGCTCTGCTTCGAAGCATCCATATACAGGGTCTGAGGAGGCGAAATACCAATCCACCACTAAGTCTAGAAAACACAAGTAACAGGCAAATGTAATGTCATGATTTTAACCTTGAGCATATTATGGTATCACCCGGGATTTCCCAATGTACTCTATATATTTCGTTCAGTGTAGATTGCCTCATTCTGGAGTAAGCAATAAATTGTATTTTAAACTATATTTCTATTCCGATTGTATTTATTGACGATAATTTAACAAGGCAGACTCAAAATAAACTTGTACATTCAAAGCAATTTTAACGACGTTAATTTGATTTTTAGTATGGTGATCCAGAACACCAAACTTAATAATTCTGTCCTTGACATGAATGCTCAACTCTTATTGAACGTTACCCATATATGATGTAGTCCAGCACCATACAACACACGACCACCAAGAGACCCTTATTGTGATGGAATCTGAAGAAGTGTTTCCTTGTAAAATGAACCATCTGAAAGAATAAATCCACCCTACTGTATTTGTCATAAGAATACTTTATATATGTTTCAGCACCTGTGCATTTAGTTGTCCTAAAACTCCCATTTTTTATACTACAAGTATTTGAACTCTTAATAATGCACACGTGAGAAATGGTTCTACGGGGGTTGTTTCAGAAGTCCTGGACAAATTGCTCTTATCAGTCAATGCTAAAATTCTAATAAAATGTTTGGAAAAATTTGGTCCGACGTATCCTTAGATACTCCGTCTTTGCATCAAACGACCCTCGTGTTTTGAATAACTATGGTTCGAAATACTTACAATAATGGTCAAATCAAACACGTAGACCAGAGTACATGCTATACCCCCGTAAAGAGCCAATGGACTTAATGTTCCAGTCTTCAGTAACATTTGGATAGGCTCAAATAGAATCAGAACACAGTGTAACAGGACTGTCAGTAGAAGTACAATATACCAAACCCAACTGCTTGATACCAATAAACATCTAGAATTAACAAACACGACAATAATATTTTTTATATTAAGAAATTGAATATATTTGAAAGTACTATGTTTACATACATACGTAAATATTAGAGATTTTGGGTGAAAATGACCAAACTATTTTGAAAAAGCCCGTTGATGGGTGAATAAAACTCCGCTTGGAAGATAATCCAATTGATCTTGATATCATCGTGAGAAACTATTATTGAAGCATATTTTCAAAGGAGAAATCTTATTCAGAGAGGTATGGACTTTCTGGGAAAGGTGTAGCTAAACCTGTTATAATTGCTCACCGTTTAGCCCACTTCGAATTCCGTATATGGGCAGATCCATATCCTGTCAAAAAGTGATGGCCACATAGCTGAAAACAATATATACACTTGCCGATAAAGAACAAGTGGTTAATATGTTCTAAATGCTTCATATGATTGATTTATGTTGAATATGAATATTTTGTTAGATATTTCGAAAAAATGTTCATGAGTGATAACATCCACATCTTGTCGGTAAATATTTGTGAATTGATGTTTGTACAGGGTGTCTCAAAAATTATACCCAAAAGTAAATCAACAGCACAGCTTAACCAATCTATATTTTCAAACATTTTTGCATGGTCATGTAGCTAAAGCATGTACGTTTTTTCCCCAATACACAGTTGTTAGTCCAGTCTTGCCATTTTGATGTTTTAAGTCTTTACTTTTTATTTCATATTTCAATAACAGCCTGTAGCCTTATGCTACATTGTCCATCACATTTGATAATGTTTCTGTTGAAATGTTATGAATTTCTCTTTGGATGTTGGCCTTACGTTGTTCTAGGTCTTTTGGCTCGGGCTAAGCTTAAAAATGATCGTTCAAATAGCCCCAGAGAAAGAAGTTTGACGATGAAGACGACAGAAAAATCACAGAGAACAAGGTCAATTATCGTCAAATGATTTAGCAGTTGATAATAGAGTTCCACCCCCCAGAATTATGGAGACTGATTGACATCCAAATGAGAACACTGTAGTCTCAAAACGATTGAGCCCCTCTACGTACAGCAAGGGCCACACAAGAATTCCCATGAAAGCAGTTTCTTCAACGTCTGATCTCTCTGAATAAAAGCATTTTGAGAGCCTCTCTATTCAACAGATTTGACACTCCAGACTTTTTCTCTGGGGTAACTTGAAAAACGATATTTATGCTAATCCCAAGCCAAGAAACCAACTGTAGAACAATTTGAGGCCAACATCTGAAAAGAAATTCAAAACATTCCACCAGAAACATTATGAAATGTGATTGAAAATGTGGCAGTAGGATGCAGGCTGTCATCGAAATATGGGGAGGGTAAATTTAATACATGGTATAGAAAGGGTTAAAGCATTAAAAAGGCAAGACTGAACTAATGGGGAGAAAACTTACATGTTTTACCTAAATGACCATGCAAAAATATCTGAAAATATCGTTTGGTTAATCTTTGCTGTTGATATACTTTTGGGTACACTTGTTGAGACACCCTATATATGATATTCGAGAAATTGAATTCAATGAGCTATTCTGCATTTGAAAATCTTACCGCATCTTTGACGAATGCCGCACTAAAGATCAAACCGTTGTCTTCCATTTCTTCACTTAAATGATTTCATAGTCCATGATGATATCAATTTCCAATATTTTGGTACATCCAATATTAACGAGGCATTTTTATTGCCAAAGGTGTTATCCAGCAGGAGATCCAAGACGTCATTTCCATTGTTCTCTGCATATTTCGCGTAGTAATCTACGGTGATTAGCCCGCGCGATTTTCGCATGAATGAACGTCATGGTTGATGCACCCATTTTTACACGACGGTATCTCCCTCGTCTTTTATCGGTTTCCCACAAAATAAACGGTTTTGAAAAGCTTATATCAAGTAGTTTCAGACGGTCTTTCTCATTTTTTAATTTCATTCAAGGTCTTGTCTCAATAATCAAAATCGCAATTGTGATATTTTTATAGAAAACGCAAAAATGTGTACTGTTTTCAAGCCTTACGGATAAATCGTTAACGGCGGCCTTCACAAACAATTAGTTCAGCACTATCTAGCTCAAATCTAGACGATTTCAATGGTGTTATTCTTTTTTACCAACCCTGGGGGAGATGGGTTTCTGCCAATTTTTAGTGCGACCAAGTGTTTTTTAGAGCCATTTATTTCATCATTTAACGTCACATATTCCGGATTGTAGCGTGACTGAACTTTATTGGACGGATGTATCCATCTTTACACGATGATATCGCGCTCGTCTTTTATCGGTTTCCCACAAGGTAAACAGTTTTGAAAAACGTATATCAAGTAGTTTCAGACAGTCTTTCTCATTTTTTAATTATATTCAAGGTCTGGTCTCAATAATCAAAATCACAATTGTGATATTTTTATAGAAAACGCAAAAATGTATACTGTTTTCAAGCCTTACGGATAAATCGTTAACGGCGGCCTTCACAAATAATTAATTCAGCACTATTTAGCTCAAATCTAGACGATTTCAATGGTGTTATTCTTTTTTACCAACCCTGGGGGAGATGGGTTTCTGCCAATTTTTAGTGCAAGTGTCTTTTAGCCATTTATTTCATCATTTAACGTCACATAATACCAGATTGTCGCGTGACTGAACTTCCTGGGAGATGCACCCATTTTTACATGATATTAGAGCACTCGTCTTTTATCGGTTTCCCACAAAGTAAACTGATTTGCAAAGCTTATATTAAGAAATTTCAGAAGGTTATTCTCATTATCTTATCTAATATATACATTATATTGAAGGTAGAGTCTCCGCCATAATTAAAATCGGATCCGGATATTTAAAAAATCCAACGACGATATTGTTTTCATGCCTAACGGACACATCGCTAACAACCGGTTTTATCTAAAATTATTTCACCACTTGTAGATCAAAATAAGAGGATTTCAATGATCGTTATTCTTTTTTACCTATCCTGGGGAAAACGAGGTTCTGCCATTTTTAGTGCGACCAATTCTAATTTAAGTTCACTTCCATTTCTTTCATTTTACGTCGTCGCCGGCAACTTTCATAAAGAAATATGAATGGATATGCAGCCGTTTTACACGATGTATGATATCTTGCTAACCTTTCAAGCCTTGCGGACACATCGTTGACGATCGGATTTAAAAAATTATTGTATATTATTATTGTGTTTACATGCCCCTGTTTTATATCCGAATTGTATTTCATGAAATAAGTAGTTTAAGTAAATTAATTTTATATTTCATTGTTCATTAAATGTCGCGTGAATAAGAAAAAAACGACAGAAACAAAAAGAACACGCAAAAATGTGATTTCTTCTAAAATGGCATGGACTGGTGAAAGTGATGATCAACTTTTTTAGCGTGTAATGTCCAAATTTTCTTATTTATTTTCGCCAACTATTGAATGTGCGATAAAAGTCATAGAGATGTTCACGGCTTTCGTCAATTAGCTTCAGCGATAATTGTTTTAAGATCTAGAACTCGGATCCCACTAGATTGGACTGTATTTTTCACATTAGCCCTTTGTGCAGAATTTCATTTCCTGTTTTCATTAACTAATTAAATGGATAAATCAATGATTCCTGTCTTTCAAAACCGATTGGATAAATTGGTAAATAATACACATACTTTGCATATCCATCCATTTGCCAGTACTATTCTAATAATGTGACAGTTAAATGAAATAAAAAGATTCTGAAATTATTATGGTTCCCTGGGTATAGATCATGTGGATTGACAAATAAAAATCTGTGTAGAGCGAAAGTAAAAATATTTATTTATCCAATTCAAATATGGCAGCACTGGACATATCTTATTCAATACATATAGGCCTAATTGATAAGGATATATATAAAATTGAAACATCATACTGTGACTGTGCACACTTGCCAAGAACTAAAAATATGATTGGAACTTCTTTAAAAAATGTAAACTAGTTATACAAACTTCGATGGCAGATGTGTTCTCAGAATATACAGTAAAATATATTTTCACCCAAAGCATAATTAAATGTAATATCATATACAGGTAGAGTTCAACATAAAAAACATATAAATGTTGAGTTTTTTCACATTGATCAACATTTACTTCAAGGTTTATAATAACAGTTTTATTTTGAACATTATGCCTACATTTAATATTTTTCAAATACAGTAGAACCTGTATATCTGAACACTTGGCTAATCCGAACACCTTACAATTTGAACACTTTTTTTCGGTCCCATTTTTTCCTCCCATTGACTCCCATGTTAAAAAAACCTTGAAATCTGAACACCTAATCTGAACAGTGAACAACCAGATTTGAAAAACCGACCTGTCTAATCTGAACATTTTATCAGGAATCAAATGTCTGGACATTTCAATAATAGCCACATATTGAGTCAATGTTGTAGTTCTTATTATCTTTACATATGCAATGTAATCAAAGAACCAATGTTGTCCTAATTAAATTATTTAAGTCTCAATGACATCCCTAATTGTGGAAAACAACAGGAAAGGTGTGAATACGGGAGTTAATTGGTTTATCCTATTAGAAAAGAACTGAATGTTTTATGTTTGGATTAAGAGAAAGGTGTGAATCAAGAAGATAATTGCTTTATCCTTATTTTAAATTAACTGGATGTTTTTGATTTGGATTATGAATAACAAGTCTTAACTGTTTTATATCCCATGTGTCTGTTATGATAGCTAGGATTCAATCAGTAAATGTTTTATAATCACAGAGACAACACAGACACATTTGCAGACAAGATTATAATTGTTTTATCATTATTAGAAATTACCTGGATGTTTTTGATTTGGACTAAGAGAAAGGTGAGAATCTGGGAGATAATTGGTTTTTCCTTATTTTAAATTAACTGGATGTTTTTGATTTGGATTATGAACAAGTCTTGACTGTTTTATATCCCATGGGTCTGTTATGACAGCTAGGATTCAATCAGTAAATGTTTTATAGACAGGACAACACAGACACATTTGCAGACAAGATTATATCATGAGAAAGAGAAAAAATTCAACTTCGTAATATCCTATCACTAAAATGCCTCTGACATACTGAATGCCCTTGATCATGTTGATATTTTGAAAGATTATGCATCATCTCGAATGAGCACTCATGAAAAATTCTTTTTAATTAAAGAGGGTATCTACTCAAATATTGCTAATGCTAAAAGTGCCAAGAAACAAACAACAATGAACGACTTTTTCAAGCTAAAGTAAAGCAGTGCTATGTAACCATAATATGAGATAGGTCATTTAATAAGCATAAGATTTTGTACAAGACTTTCATATACTTATTCAGTGTATTACAAAGTTTTTGCCAAAATTAAAGAGTTATTTTTCCCAAAATAATGAAATTGTTCAATATGTAAATAAAACATAGCATATACATGTAGGCTATAGGCTTATTGTAGAATAAACTCGGCAACAACATGTATTGTTTTCTGACTAAGTATTAAGTGTTCAATATAGTGGACTGAACAATGATAATCCCCCCCCCCCCCCGACCAACAATAGTCCCATGGGTGTTCGGATTAGACAGGTTTTACTGTAGTCACATATGCTTGGATATTCCATGTGGGATAACATGAACATCCAATATATCTGATGCATATGGAAATTGTATTTGGGAACTGGATTTATTTGAATGTTATTGGAATAAGCCCAGATGATCTTGGGAAAGCTATCCTCCTGTATTCCCATTGTTCAATGTTTGTTAGTTGGAAGATGACCTCCTGACAGCCAAAGTGTTAAGATTCGAGTATTTGGAATCTCTCCTGCTTTATAATCCTGCAAATATACATGTATACATTTGATGTAAAATAAAGCTCAATACTTTGCATGAGAGTGGTTTCCCTGTTCAAAAGGATTCAATCTTTTAACATTTTGACCAGCATAAGTACCTACCTTGTTATTGATTAATACTTATTCAAATTGGTACTATTCACTCAACTGCTTACAAAATTGAGGAAGGTAATCAAGTAAATTGTTAATATTTAATCAGTTGTAAAATGTAAAATGCATATAAGTTTGAATGGTGTGTTCTGATTGACTGGATATTTGGATGTCATGCCTGCCTACATGTGAATAAATAATGAGACATACAGGTATCAGCTTACTTTTATCATTTTTATCATAGGACCTGCATACCCTCCAGTCAAGTTTGTCTAACATATAGGACCAATCAGATGTGCTGCATGAAGCAACATACAATCCATGATAGATTCTTTCCCATTGGTTTGTTTTATCTTAACTTTGCTGCAATAAATGATAATAAAAACAAATACAATATTTGATCAATGTCAATCATAAATTACACAAGTTTCACACTTAATCCAACAAAAGGAAATCTACAATTTCTTTGACATTGAAAACATTGTTTCCAATCCATTTTTAATTATTAACCATAGGTCAGATCTACAGAAATATTACTTCATTATAAAAATATATTGCGTATCAAATCATTGGCAAAGTACATCTATATTAACCCTTGAAGCCTTAGGTATGTATTTCACACAAAGTCCCAAGAGGTGGAGGGGGTACAAAGGGCATAAGCATATTAAATTAA